GTTATTGTCTTAATATTTGAAAAGTGAACGTTGGATCTGGAAAGTGCTCAATTTTTTGCAATCTGAAATTTGCATTTACACAATAAACGTTCTTCTCTGCACAGTTTGGGTAGATATGTTGGTTTATTGTGTGCAAAAGATGCTGGACTGTTGCATGACTTAATTCATATAAGCTTTGCTCAACTGACTGTGAGATTTTTGTTTAGGTGTGAGATCTTTCAGATGGAGGAAATATGCTTAGCTTAGCATTTTAACACCACAAAGATAGTTATTGTCTGGCCAAAGATTTATTTGATTTTTTCTAATCAAAGCAGCTCTCTCTTTCCAGTCTTATTTCAAAAAAGTTACTTTAACATATTTATTTCATTGCAGAGTAACTGGGCCACCATTCTTGTCCCAGTATAAATGCTAAAGCTGTTAGCATAAAGAGTTGTAAATAGTGTTAAAATAAGGCCTGAAAACTTGACTATTGACTTTAGGTGACTTTTTATGTAGAAAAAAAACACAAGTTAACACAAAGCCTAATCAGGCTGGTGCCTATCTAGAATTTATGATACATAAATGACTAAATAAATGTAAATTATTAGAGTTAAGCGTGGACGTGCAGGATTTTAGCTGGACGTGCACGTCTTCAGTTTATGTCGGGTTACCAGGCTCACTCCTCCGGTTTCGGTTGTTTAAAAAATGTATTTTGTTCTTTTTTGGGCGACCTCTCATCCCTTCTTTTTCTTTCCTGCTTTAACTATCTTTTCCATCTCTTCCTGACCCTCCTGAAGCCCACATCCTTCTCCTATCTCTCTCCCCCCGTCTCACCTCACACACTACATAACCACTCAGCAGTCGCTCTGACTCCAGGGCCCTATGTGCCCTATGTGAGCCTAACCCTAACCCGGTCCACTGTCTGGGAACTACTACACACAAACATTAAGTTTACAGATGTTTTTTACAGGTAGACGAAGAGGACCATTCATTTACGTCCACCCAAACCTTTTTTTTGTGAACAACTTTTTTGATTATTTTAACCCTATAATGCCAAATGTGTCATATCTGATCCGGTTTCTTTTGGATCTTTTTGCATCATTCAGTGGTAAAAGCTTTGCTCAAACCCCTGTTGTACACATTCAGATATACCTGATAACAGCCAGTAGAAGACTACACCAACATATATTTTTGACTTATTGCACGCTAATTTGATCAAAATAATTTCTGTTTTCTTTTCTTCATATGTTGTTGAGGGGCCAAAGAAAGACTTCAGACTAAAAAAATCCAATATTCGTCCTAATTTTATTGGATCAGGCTTTAAAGAGTTAAAGAGAAACAGGTACATTAGTCCGATAAATGTAAAAGGTATATTACAACCTAACACAACAGAAAGGAACATATAAAACAAAACAAAAAAAACAGGCTACGACCCCCCTTGGACCATATTCCAACAACATACATAAACAAAAATAGTGATTATAGGAATTCCTGGATCTCATCTGCCATTGTTTTACATGCTTGACTAGTATTAGATCCACCACAGTGCCACGGAAAGTTCCATATTTATTATGTCAATGTACGTGTTAATCCATTGGGGCTTGGTATCTGCGTCCACCCAAACCTTTTTTTGTGAACAACTTTTTTAATTATTTTAAAGAGAAACAGATACATTAGTCAGATAAAGGTAAAAGGGTATATTACAACCTAATACAACAGAAAGGAACATATAGAAATAAAAAAAAAATAAAAAAACAGGCGACGACCCCCCTTGGATCTTTACAGAACTCTTACAGGACCTAAGAGACTATATTCCAACAACAAAAATAGTGATTCCAGGAATTCCTGGATCTTATCTGCCATTGTTTTCCATGCTTGAACAGTATTGTCTCCAGCACCGTGCCACGGAAAGTTCCAGATTTATTATGGCCCAACCGGCCGAGGCAGATGGCCGCCCACCCTGAGCCATGGTTCTGCTCCAGGTTTCTGCCTGTTAAAAGGAAGTTTTTCCTTGCCTGTGTCGCCTAGTGCTTGCTCATGGTGGGAATTGTTGGGTTTCTGTAGTTAACTTCAGAGTAGG